CTGTGAAAAATAACCCCCGCCGGCCGCAAACGGGGAGAAAGGCGGCACAGTTGCCAGGAGGCAGAGCAGCGGGAGGTCGGATCTGGTTAAGCCGGCTGCTCCGCCGGGGCCGGGGCGCTCTCCTCTCTCCGCCAGCCTTCTCAGGGCTTCGGTAGCGCCAGACTTGCCCATCGAGGGCCGCGGGCTGACGCGGCGGGCACAGAATTAAGCGTGCGCCGCCGGCGGAGCCGACGGGGCCGCGGTTTCGGGCAGATGCGAGCTCTGGGCGCGAGACGCCCGGCTTCGCCCAACCGTCCCGTCCTCGTTAAGGGTTTAACCAAAGCGGCGCCGGGCGTGCGACCCGGAGCCCTCAGAGGAGGCCCCGAGTCGGGCGGTCGCCATCACGAGGAGCCTCTCCTCCATTTTGAACGCTCCTTCTCCCACCGCCAGCAGCGCTCCCGGGCCGGAGCTCTTTTGGGCGGGGAAACGGCTTTTTGCCGAGGGCCTGGGGTCCTGGCCCGCGGGCGGACGCCTCCTTCCCGCGGCGGGAAGCTCGGCCTCTCTCCTCCGGCTCCCCCCGAGCTCGTCCCTTACCGGAGCCGGGAGCGTCCTGACTTTGAGCCCCTGCTCTACTGTTTTGTTTTACCTGTTAACGAGTCACGGCTTCGTTAAGCACTCTCAGCCGATTTCTGTTAGAGAGACCGTTTTAGCTGCTACTCGGAAGAACAGCGGGCACCACTCCTCCTCCGCAGCCTGTGCCATGCTCACCATGAAAAGGTCAAACTCCTCTTCGTGCCGCGCAATCATCTGGTTGACCGTTTCGTCGTCGGGAACTTCGTCTTCTTCCTGCAAGATTTTAAATCCCCGATTCAATGGCGAGAGAAGGCGGCGCGGCAGTTCGTCCGCTCGGAGCACAGCACCGAACATCGTTACCATCCGACGCTTGTTCGGTTGCCCGTGAAAGATGTGTTTTTGGGTGGCCTCAGTCCAGTTTCTAGCGGACAGGTTATCCGCGGTGCAAAGATCACCGGCAGAGCTGGCACGTGCGTTGGCAGTCTCAGCAGCAAGGCCGAGGATTGAATGGGCGTGGAGACTGAACAACCCCTCTCACCTTTAGAGGTGGTTCCTCCAACTCAGCGTTCAGGCACAGGGTTGAGGCAGTGTGGGGGAAGCTTGCACTGCCACTGCCGCTGCCCGCGCTGTATCTGTTCTGTGGATAAATAGAGGACTTCAGTCTCCAGGGCTGTCAATCCGGCACCTTTCACCGACGCTAAAAATTCACTTCAAATAGAAACAAGTGTTCATGCTCCTTTTTCCTTCTAGCCCCCACGCCCTTGGCCTCGAGGACGCACAGAGCAGTGGAGCAAAGCCAGCCACACGTTCGCCATTCGCGCTCTGGAGTAGGAGGAAGCTGCCTGCGCTGCCCCTTACCTCGTCCTGCTCCTCGTGCTCCAAGATAGCCTGGAGGAAGGCTCTTCGCTCGTGGCTCGAGGACTTCTGGTCAAACATGCCGGCTTGGATAACCTTCTGATCAACATTCAGCTTGTATTTGGCGGCGGCAAGGATCTTCTCCTCCACGCTGTTGACGGTGCAGAGGCGGAGAACGCGCACTTCGTTCTGCTGCCCGATGCGGTGCGCTCGGTCTTGCGCCTGCAGGTCCTGCCGGGGAAGCGCGCATCGTTGGCCGAGTGATTTACAGCCAGCTCCCGCCGAGATTAAAAAAAACGCGCTTTATCCTCTAAAAACGCCTGGTGGGGGACGCAGGCTGCACCCTCAACGCTCTCAGCCATCCCTGAGGACTACGGTACGCTCGCAGGGAATTCGGTTAACGGAAGCGATCGGTACTGGCGGCCGCTCGCTCCTTAGGAGACCGAGCGCGCGTGGGGGGGGAAAAAAACCCCCACGACCACGCGGACAATCACAGCCGGAATTTGGGGACGGCTCTCTGCCTCTCGCGGGCCGTCCGTCACCGGGAGCGTGCCCGCGGTCTGCGCCGGCACCGGGCTCGGAGGACGGCAGGGTTTCAACGCCTCGACTCGTGCCGGGAGGAGGAAGGGCTCTCTGACCTCGGCTGCTGGCAGAGGGAAGCTTTAAAGGTTTACTGCCAGCGCAACGATTCATTTAGCTGCCGCCGCGTGAGGCTCCCGGCTTTTCCTCGCCGCCAGAACCACGCCCCGCTCGCAGCCGGGAGGGCGAGCGCCCGGGCTCTTGCGCAAGCCTACGCCGCTGGCTCTCGTCCCGGGGACGCGGCTGCGACGGCGCAGCGGACGGACGGAAACGGCGGCGTTTGTTTGGGCGGAGGCTCTTCGTCGTCAGGCTGGGCTGCCAGCACCGGCCGCGCGTCTCGGGGAGGTGGCAGCGCTCCAGAGCGAGGG